AAAGGAATGAAAAAAAAAAACAAAACAAAAACAAAACAAAACAAAACAAAAAACAATAGACATGGTTGAATCTTCTTTGTTGGATAAGAAGTTCAGGGATAGGTTCATCTTATATCCTGCGTAAAACCGTTGACACTTTAAATCCATTGTAATGTGATTTCTTGGCTGCTTTCAAGAAATTCATGTTCATCTTTTATCAACTTGAAAAATACACGTTGCTGTAGAATGAAAAAAAGGAAAAATGAAATAAACTGAATTAAAAATTCTGGTGGATCATCACCACGCAACTACAATGCTTTGATTTAGAATTTGCAGTGTAAATGCTTGCAGATTGCTTTGAAGTGCTGTATTACCATTTTAGGTGGATTTGGCCAAGGCTAAGGCTAAGCTCCAGAGTAATTTGTATTCTATGTAATACTGTGTAATTTTGTTCCATAACGAGTCAAAGGGTAAACTCACAGGCATTTCACCCTGACCGAGCGAAATGTTGTAATTTATCGTAGGCGGCGGAGTAGGGTGGGTGGGTGGTGGTGGTTGGGGGGGGGGGTTGGTTTCTTCCGCCCCCCGCCCCCCGCCCCCCGCCAAACAAAAATCTGGTTTAGCAGAGCCAAAAACCAACTCCCCCCCCCTCCCCCTCGCACGTTTTGGTGCCGAACAGAAAAACACTTTTACGAATGTATTTGACAATAGCTATGACATCGGCGACTTCAGATCACACTATGCCAGTGAATAACAGCTGCTAGCCCTCTTAACTGGAATTTTCGACCTACAGTTGTTTATGATTTAGTTTTAATGTCTATTCATTATGCGGGTGGCAGCAACCGCGCTTACCAGCAGAAATGTCTCCGTTACTGTTTTGACGCCGAAATCGAAAAAACAGCACACACTAAGATAATAAATGATATACATATTCCAATAAACTCTTTCGTTGATTGATTTAGACGGTCAACAACTGAAATTACTTCATGTTTATAAGGAATCTAGACGGAATGGCTTTAAATTTATTCATTGTCACAGTTTGACGAGAAAAATAATGAAAACGGAACGAAATTTTCATCATTTCAACCCCATTATAACTTGTAAAACCCACAGCTGACCATAGTAATCATGGGCACGAGTACTCGGTTATCTTTAAAATCATTATGCGTTAGTAAAAAGTGTAAATACATAATATGCTTAATGGAAGGAAAGTTACTTTGCAACCAGCTAGTTTTTAAAGCATACTGAATCTTGAAAGATGAATCATTTTTCTTTGAGCCTAAAAAGTCCAAATTCGCAGACGGATTATCTAACTGATAATTGGGAATATTAAATGATGTTCTTGTTTAGGTAACATTAGATGGTCCTTATTTCGTAGCAGGCTAGGGTTGCCTTGGGTTTATCCAGTCACTGGGAAAGGAATTTTCAACGAGTTGTTTGGAAACGAGAAATTAGCAGGCATAACTCTAACCTCAGCATCAAATACGAGTCTGCCATTTCAGAAAATAGAAAGGCCATCTTCCTTCATATTAAAGCTAGAGAAAGTCCTGATTAACCACTCTCAATTTCAGTTGAATCGATGAGGACGATTTCAAATGTTTTATGAGTTTTAAAATTTGTTAGAAATTTCAGCAAAGTCTGCGAGGCAATACTCAATAAACGCCTATGGAACATGTTAAAATCAGTGGCCTTTTCTCCCGCTGGATTCTTTTACTTTTATCCTAAGTGAATTTAATCTGCACCTCAGCAGAAGAACGGTATCTTACGTGGTTAATTCCAGCACTCATTTGCAAACAATTACCACTCAAGCAGTCGCAATTTTTACTCTAAAAGCTGGGACGCCATGTTCCATATAAAAGTAATATATTTTGATAGGCACAGTTTCCAGAATTTCGTCTTGTGGGTCTCGGAAATTTAATGATTGCTATCGGCTGTAAGCTAACACAGTCAGATGGGGCCCTCCGCCACAAGAAATAACAAACTGGCTTGTAATGAGAGTTGTTCGATTACAAGGATAACACGAAACTAAGGTTAATACGTAATTTGCTTGAACTAAGTTTTAAAGGGAGTTAAAATTAAAAGTATATAACCAATACACTCACCTTAGAAATGGAAATCAGTGATATGCCTACCTAACGCACCTCGGTTATGTAAGAATACCAGCACTCAAACGTCCAATTTATACATACAGTTAGACAACTACGGTGTTGAAAACTAGGCTGTTAAACTTTATGCATTTTCATTGGCTCAAAGGAGCAGGGTTAACATCTCATAAGTCCAGCTTAACCTTACACGGCATGAAATCAAATACATGGTTTGGAAAAGTTAAGGCATCCTTAAATTAGCTTTGATTATCAGGACATCGAAGATAGATTTTGAACAGTCTTGAACATAGTTTAGATTATTTTGAAGATTATTAAACAAGTATTATTCGACATTAAAATGTGCTTGTATGCGTATCATCATCCTTCCTTTCAAATCTTTTTTCGATATATTTATCCGTTACTTGGGTAGCGCTGAGTTGCTCGACATGTTTAATTCTAAACGAGACTACGCTTAAGCACTAGTTTTCAACTTATGAATACAAAACTAGGCTCCATTACCAGCCGCTGTTCGGGAAAATGAGCCCGCACTCATCAAAGACCGGACCCGGGAGACGGCGGAGATCGAGCCTAATACAAAACTAGTTACCCTATATATATGAATCTTCATATGCGTAACCTAGCTTATTGCGTAAAACCTAAGCGCCAGTTTAATTAATCAGAACCAATCTGCTTAATTAAAAGCGAAGTTCAGTTTCACGGAAATCTCCAAACACCAGCGTCATTTGAAATAACAAATCTTAATTAAATTTATGGCAATTTAGCCAAAATTTCGTTGTCGAAATACACATCAAGGTTTAGAAATAGCTCTCTTAGCATTAGAATCGTAGTGATTCGTGTCACTGAAATCTTCCGTCACCAGACTCATTTAAAGGAATTAATGTTAATTTAATGTAAGTTATTACCTGAAAGTTCAAGGACACAATACACAATGTTCAGAATTAGGTTTCTTGCGTTTAAGAACAACTCGTTGCATTCCTCTAAATACAGTTACGAAGGAAGAAAAATATGCCCACGCTCTGATCTGTCAAGTTTTTGAAAATTGTCTGATTACCCAAGTTGATTTAGTAGTCGCCCCATGTAACGGAATCCCAGACAGTCTTGGATTCTGGATTCCACGCCATGGATTCCGGATTCCGGATTCCGGATACTGGTACAGGTTTTCTTTGTCTGTGGAACTGGGACATTCCAGATTCCAAACCTCAAGATTCCGGGTTCCACGAGCAAAAATCTCCCGAATTCCGCAATTTGGATTCCTTTACATGGGGCGATAGGCCACATATGCTCAAATTCATGGCTTGATTGCACTTTAGCCTATAAATTATAGTTCATGTCATCAGGAAAAGACCTGCAGTTAGGTCCAGAGTAAGAGTCAGCAGTAAAAAAGAAAGAAAGAAAACAGCAACAACAACAACTACAACTACAAAAACGACAAACACACGAACAAACATGTAGATAAACAAAAAAATGATAATGGCTCGTCGTGGGATAGGCAGACTGCGAGATAAACTTTGACTTAACAGACGTGGATGGATTCTATGAACATGAAAAAATAACTTTGATAATGTTGATTCAAAGTGGTAAGCAACCCAAAAACAAAGGGGGCTCGACTCCCCCACACATTTATCAACTTGCAGAATGATTTATCAGATCCACACCATTCTTTGTTTATTTTAACACATGGAACAATCCGCAAGTCCAGAGGACGATACAGATGTCGCTGCTTTCAGTCCATCTTTAAAATATCTATATCCAGCTTTAGAGCCACACGACAAGAATAGTTTTATGTGTAGATTACAGATGCTATTAACTGTGATCTAGCATCAGATATCAGACAGCACAGCATCAACCTGCCTTCTCTGCTGGAAGAAGGAACTATTATTTTACTTGTTTGTGTCTTCGCACCAAGAAACTCTTGTCCAGCAGGCCGCCTGAGATAATAAATGTTTACTTTTCATCAAAATTTTTCATTGAAAAAATATTTTCTTCTCTGATTGGCGGTAAATATAGTACCGGACTGTCTAATCTTCCATGACCAGCTGAAGCTGACCAAATCTAGAAGAATCTTAGATTATGCCATTACCGGCGTTGGTCACTTGAACTTGTACTGCTGACTCAATACTGATGGGTGTGATCTACTTGATAATCTATAAGAGAGTCCGTGTCAGGGTCTCTTGTGGATCCTAAAGTAAAACCACTGCCGCGTGTTTTACCCCTCTCTTCATGATCAGTGCGTCCTACTGGTGGCGATCCTTAGATATTTGCTAGACATGTAAACGGGCTCCTAAGCTTTGGACGTCTTTTTCTTTACTCCGCAGGCCGAGGTGGATAACACCCTCAACATTCTGTATAATTGTTCTTCTCTTTAAAAAAGCCCCATCTAGTGATTTCTAACTACTGTAGTGGTCGCTTTGTTGTTGCAGCTTTGTTGCTCCTTTTTTACCTGTTAGAAGAATGCCGCAAATTCCTTGTTGAAGCAAATGATTCACATTCAAATTCACTGGTGATTGGTAGGTATGATTTTACAGGAGAAAGTCTTCGACCTATCAAGGATGCTGAATTTACTCTTTCGACTTTTTTAGATGGTTGTGCAGTTTTTACTTCTTGCTAAACCATTTTTATCGCAATTGCTTATTATATGCTTCTCTGGTAGAAAGTCCAATAAAGCCACATACTTTACGTGCCACTGAAATGTGTGTGGTGATTGCAGTGACAAACGAGAGTAGCAAATGCACTCAGGACGGAGACTGTTCATTTAGAATTGAAAATCTTCACGTGCCATTAGTTCACTCAACGTTAGAACTTGCTAGCATTGGTTCCAGGGTTGTACTAATGTTCCGTTAGGTAAAATTCTCAAAAGTATGTCTC